ATTATCAACAAAGTATAATATGATGATGTTATACAATAAAATAAGTTCTTAAACACATTCTGTACTCTAGGCATAATGTTAAATTAAATAAAGCTTGACAGAATATGGAAAATAGTCAAGAAAAAAATAGTGTAGGCCTATTTGTTTGAATAAGTTTTTGGCGGTTTACATTTAAAAATTTTCTCTGCTTACTTTTAACAGGAAGTTTAGAAAATTGTTGCATTAGACAGTTGATATTTAAAACATATAAATCTATTTAAAATCCTGTTGTGAAAGATTTACAAACACCCCCCCCCCCCTTTTTCTATTAATAAGCATTTAATCTGTTACAAGTAATATGGTCCCACTTTGTGTCATATCACAAACATATAGAGTTATTTATCCTATTAAATTTAAAAATTTTCTCTTATTAATTTTAACAGGAAGTTTAGAAAATTTTTGAATTAGACAATTGATATTTAAAACATATAAATCTATTTAAAATCCTTTTGTGAAAGATTTAAAAACACCCCCCCCCCCTTTTTCTATTAATAAGCATTTAATCTGTTACAAGTAATATGGTCCCACTTTGTGTCATATCACAAACATATAGAGTTATTTATCCTTTTTTTTGGGGTCACCGAAGCAAATCAACCCATTTTGCTATATATGGCACTTTCTCAGTTGTAAATACAGCTCTAATAAAGCTTACAGTTAGTCTAAATTAAACTTTTAATTGGAAGGAAAAAATATTTTCCTAAATGCAATAATTTGCTTATATTTGTATGCAATTATAATGTAAGTGAAAAGTACATTAATGGTATTCAAATTATAAACACGTACTTGTACTTGTACATTTTAACAAAATGAATATGTCACAAAATGTATATCAGTGTAAAAAACAACTTTGTTTTTCAGCATTGAAATAACCCCAACTAATTTAAAACGGAGCAATTAAATTATGTTAATATAAAGTAGACATTTTTCCACCAACCACAATTTATACAGTTTATAGCGCTTAAAAAAAAGAAGAAAAAAAAAACAAAAAAAAAACCAAGTAACATGAGCAGTTTTAGAGCTTACTCTACACATTTTCCTGGGAAAATTCCCAAAATTGTTATCAGGTAAAACATTGCAATTGGAAAAAGGTACAACTGATGGAATGTTCTGAAGAGAGGTCTTTTTAAGTTTCAGAAAGTCAATGAGCTATTATTTATAAAAGGTATACATTGATTTTTAATATCAAACATATTTTGGCACTGAATAGCAATAAATGATTCATTGAATTTATTTATTTTAAAAAAATGTCTTAAAATATTTATGATGGAATTTTTTATTCAATGTACTTCAGTGAAGATCAATAGTAATGAACAGCAGATACATTTTCCTATAACAGATCCCTAAAGGCTTAAATCATTTAATCAAATTTAATATTTGTTATTCCTTTCAAAGCTTTCTTAAATCTTCTAAATTTATATATCACTAGCATTCTAAGTCAAACAGCTAAAATAATTGATGTATTATTTTAATGCCTAATATTGTGTACATAAAAAATAAATACATGTAAAATAAAAAGGTAATTAACCTCCTACAACATTTTAGAATTACTTCATTAGAATAGTATTTTCCTGGTAAAATTAACATGTAGAAGGTTTGTATCAATTTGAATTTACCATCATAAATTAAACATAAATTAAATATACATAAAAAAATACCAGAAATAAAAAAAAAGAATCAGCTACATTGCAATAATTGATTAATTTAGAAGCTTAAACGTTGATGGGAGGTATACAAGCTTTAACCCCCCACCCCTCCCCCCACTCGAATAAAAAACAACCAATCTAGATGTCTTTTTGAAGTTTTTTAATTACAAATTAATAAGACATTCATGTAAATTAATGGGTGATTTTACCAAAACTTTCTATGAATAACATTTCTTTACTTTAAATGCCATTCTATTTCAGAGCCAGGTAAAAAAAACTTATTTTTAAGACTTCACAATTTCCACAAGGCACACATTTGACATTGTCATGGTCAATTTAATAAAAATAATACAAGTTTCATTAGCAAACCCCATAAAGACAGTTCTGTTTCTTGATTTATTAATTAATTTCAAAAGATGCAAAATCACTGCATATGAAATACATTTACACTCTATAAAATTAGAAAATGAACCTCTTTAATCACACATTTAATTAAAGTTTGTTTAGATCAAATCAAAGGAGCTGTTAAAAAAATGTAAATTTAAACAAAAATAGATACATAAGAGCAATTTAAGATTTAATTATTTTAATGTAAATTACAATTTTCCTTTAGATTTCAATCTTCATTAATTGTCAGTTAAAAAATGATTTTTTATCTAGACTTAAATCAAATTTTTACAAATGGGCATTCTTAATTTTATTTAGCTACTTTATGTCACCAACTTTAATGTAAACGCCACTTCATATAACAAAGCAGCGCAGAAACTTATTACTATAAGTATGCTATTATATTTTGTGTAGGTTGATATCCACTTGTTTTCAAATAGAAAGTTACGTTATTATTTTGCTGATGTCTATGGTAAGTTTAAACTATTTACATTAAATATTCCACATGCATGTCAGTCTCACCCTTGCAACCGCCATCAAGACATAGAAACTATAATAAAGTTACATGTTTCAAAGTTAGTGGTCATCAGGTAAAGAATGGACATTACCAAGGTGTAGAGGGTTCTAATTGATCTAATTGGGGTTCAGCTATCATGATCTTCTAAGTAATGAAAAATTTATAAAAGGATGTGATACACTGGAGATGACAGTTGCTGTTATCTGAAAGTGCTATGCAAAAATTGTTGCGTAGTACGTATAGGTAAATCCACTAAACTTTGAATGCCACTGAAGGGAAAGAGGACGCACGGAGGACCTTGGAAGACTTGCAAGGAGACATGAGGAAAGCCTACACATAATATCTTGTTGCACTATTTAATTACTGCACAGTGTGTGTGTGTGGGGGGAGGGGGGGATGAAGACACAATGCTTATGAATAACCCTAGATACACATAATTAATTATTGATAAAATAATCTCATTTGCTTATGATAAATGCTAGCATCATGGAGCTATATAGTCATGTTTTAAAGATAAAGTGGTATGGTGGGCGCTAAACAAATCTTTCATACTGATTAACGCATGCTTGTAATGTCCATCCCATCAATATCAATACATGACATATTTCATCATACAAAACTATGTTTGTATATCATAATTTAAAAATCCAAACACTATTTTAATCTCCTAAGAAACTTTAAAAGCTAACCAAATAATAAATTTAAAGCTAAATAAAAGAAATATTACAGGGTTCAGGGAGGCTAAGATCCATAAATACCAATGTTTCTAAGCATGTAAATTATGATATTAACATGTACCGGTATGCATTAAGGCCAAATTTCTCTATTTAAGGAGTTCAAATTAAAATGGATGATTACAACACAGTAGATTTAGCAATGTTTTTGTAAAGGTTGGTCACTGAAAAAAGATAAATTAACAAAAAAGTCCCCCCCCCTCCCAAAGAAAATCACTTATTAAAAGAAAAACACATGTACAAGAATACAAATGAGAGAAATGCAAAAAATTATCAGCATCATCCCCACAAGTTGATAATAAAATATCAACCGATGTTAAGATACATTTAAAGCTTTGACAACACAGGGGGAGTTTTACTATTAGGAGCTCAGAGAACAGTTGGGAAAAGTCAAATAATTTAATTCAATCAATTTTAAGTTTGGTAAAAAGCAAATTAAATCTAGAAAAATAAAAAAAATAAAAAAATCAAGTAATTATTTTTCTTCATATAATTACTTCATATAAATAAATTATGCATAGATTTTTTAGCAATGCCTCTATTATGGCCTTATATATATTCACCAACAAATAATCCCACACAGTGCATATCTTCGATGAATAATAATAAAAATGTCACATGAATAAAAACCAATAGCTCCATTCATATTAAATTTTTAACATGTACATTTTTTTATGGAAACATGATAAAGTGAGCATTAATACAGTAAAAAAATACTAAAACAATTACCATTGTATTTAGGCTCATTTAACTTTTTTTTTTGTTGAAATATTGATTTTTCAATTCATTGAAAAGACTAATGATATTTAATCAATGTTTTTTTAAAACTGGTCAGATACTAATAAGTTATTATAAATACTAACAATCCTTCATCCAGTTATGCCTTTTAAGATTACCGTTTCATTTAAAAGCATTTGGATTCCAAAAGCATGTGCATATACTACGTTATCTTACTTAGCCGTAGCTAATTGAAAAATAGTACACTGTTAAAAACTTAAATTAAGATTTTTATAAGAATGACAGGGATATTTAAAAAAAAAAAAAAAAAAAAAAAAAAAAAAAAAAAAAAAAAAAAAAAAAAAAAAAAAAAAAAAAAATAACAGCTTGACTCAGTAAATAAGTTGAAAAGAAAAAAAAAGGATTATAATTTACATGAACTTAACTTGTCCAACACAACTTACTTAGAAATGTGACTAAAACTGTAACTGTAAGTGACTAGTATATTTAAGAAAAATCATTAGTAATTCCAAGGTTAAAATAAATAATATAAGAATATGGGTATAATGCTGGTTCTTATTTTTATCTACAGTTATCCAATTTAAGTAAAGTCTACTAGTGTTTAATAACAGAGCTGCTCCATTGTTTTAAATATAAGATATAACCTTGCTGTTAAAAAAAGTTCATCAAATGTAAATTTAAAAAAACAACAACTTAATTTATTATTATTATTATTTTTTTAAAAAAAAGAACATTTTTCAGCACAAGCCATTTGAAATTCAATTTATGTGTACCGGTAATCAGAAATTGGATTACTTTAAACCCAAGCCCAACCTAATTAAAATACAACAGCACATTTACAGAGTGCACAATGTAAGCTTTGGAATTCAAAAATGAACATTTTCAACCTATTATTCACAGTCTCTATCATCTATTGGAGACAGAGTTTGAGTTAGGTTTATTTGCAGCTTTCAACAACTCAATTCTTTCACCATCTTCAGCACTAACAAAATCAGGGTCCCATTCTAAATCACTGGAATGCATTGGACTGGCTGTGGAAGGCTTGGACCAGCTATCTTCAGAGGCACGAGCATTGATTTTACGTTGTGGGGACATACCTGAAGACACAAGTTTAGTTTGAAAATTAATTTGTGGTTTCATTACAGTTTTGAGGAGCAAAATAGTTTTAAAGAGCTTTCTTGTGACTTTTTTTTCGGCTTGTTTGTTGAAAGGATAACACACCAGGTGATATTACACATCTTTTTTTACTTATTTTTAGAATAATAAATTCTTCGTAATATTTTTCGATCAACTAAAAGTTAGCTAAGTTTCTGATTTTCAATCACAAACAAACAGCAATTCTTATAAAAATATTGAAACTATTCAAGCAAACAAATCACTTCTATTCTAATTACAGTATACTTGCAATGAATAATTACCAATCTTAACATTTTTAATCAATAAACCAATACATACCTGCCTCATGGTCCCACTCCATATCTAATGAACTGGCCTCTGTCAAACTTTTATCTTTAGTTAGAACTAAGCTGCTGTTCGAGCTATGAGCATCACCAGATCCTAATGAAAGAAATTTTTTATTAATATTCTTCTTTTACACAATCCAAAATATTATTACAGCACAAAATATTTAAAGCCAAAAGATTTTTGAAAATATAAATCTCTTCAACAAGAATATAGCTTTGCCACCTTTCATTCTAATAACTTATTGCCCATCTAACTGTATGTTTTTAAATGTCTCGTATGTAAAGTCAAAGATAGAAAAAAAATAAAAGAAATACCACACCACACGAAGTATTTTGTTTGTTCAATGTATTATTTTCCAAGCAAAAGGTTAAAGGCATATTTTGCTGATTAAATGTCTACAGTTTGGTTTTTAAATGTGCAGAAAATGAAAGCTGACATTGGTTGTTTCCCTTTCATTGCACTGACCCAAGTTTCAGTCAACTAAAAAGTATACAGTTTTCGTTTAACCAAAATAAAACAGACTCACCATTTGTCACTTGAGCTCTTGTGGCCAATGATCTGGCTTTGACGCTTGCGAGGAATATTTCAAAGTCATCATCACCACCAGCACTGATAGAAATGAATTTAAGGAGATTTACATTTCATAATTAGATTTGAAATAGGCCTACTTGGTTTAAGTAAAAGCATATTTATTGATTCCCAAATATTACAAAAAGCCAGATTTCATTACAATTAATTGTGCTGAAAAACATTTACTAAAATCAAAATTGTTTATGCTTTTACACAAAAGAGAAGATAAATCATTTAGGAATGCTGGCCATGTCAACACAAGACTAAACTACCATTAGTTAGAAAAAAGGATTTAGCCCTTACTAAATCAAATCTTCAGTTGTTATCATAAATTATGGGCAAAGGCTAAATTTCTTGGTCATAAATTATTATAAAATTCAATTGAATTTTATTTAATTTTCACAAAAACATATTTTTTTGGAATCCCTCCTTAATTAAATATAATCATAAATAAATGGACTTACATTTCCCACTCTTCGTCATTAACCCACGCTCTGTTATTAGGCAAATTATTTTTGGCAGCATTCTCTTTTTCCTTACTTAATTTGGCTATGCGAGCTGCCTCACGTTTTGCTTCATAGAATGCTTCTTCTTCTCTCTCAATTTCTTTTTCCTGCTGTGCTAACTATAGCAATTAAATAAAATTTACATATGCATAAAAAAATGTCAGTGTGAAAGCAATAAAAAAGGATGTAAAGGCAATCATAATTACTTAATTTACCATAGAAAATAGTGAATGTAACTAAGAAATAAGTGTTTGAATACAAGGATAACATCAAAGGTACACACAATGCCATATTTAAAATTCAAATCTTCTTAAAAATTGAAAAAGCTTTCATGCACGTGATTATGATTATTCTGTAAAACATTTTCCTGACGAATTTTGTTTTTATGAAAGGTTTAAAAGATCAGAAAGTAACTGAGTTGAACAATTAAAACTATGTGTTATCAATGTAAATTTTATGCCAAACATTTCAATGGCCAATTTCTCTCAGTAGAATGGTCTGTTGCAAAGCATGCTTTCAGTATTTGTAAAGAATTTACCATATATTCAGAACAGAGGTTCTTAAAATATTAAATGTAGGTACCCTCTTTAATACTTATCTTAATACTTGCCAAAAAAAGCTCATATTTTATAATATAAAAATCCTTATTTTGCTGTGTAATGCAAACACTAAAATCTTTGTGTAATCCACAATTTAAGTAAGAGCCTATGATTTAGAACACTCACTAAAACAAATATAATTGAAATATTGATACCAATGAAAATAAGGTAATGAAAACATAGTTTTCCATAAATATATAATCATCCAAATGCAACATACAACAAATATATGGAAATTATTATAATATATTGTAGAATAAATATGTATTCTATGGTTCTATTTCTTTAGATTCGACAACAGTGTGCTAATACTAATATTGCTAGCTGATTCATAAATGTTAATGGTAAATATGCATTAATGTGGCAAAGTGTTACTAGACTTTTAAAAATAAAAAGCTTATTTTCCTTGCCTAAATCTTAATTTTCAGACATTTAAACATAGTAAAGCAAATAATACTTAATTCTTTGAATACTTCAAACCTGAAACTATCTCTGTGTTCACCATATGTTCAATAATTTTTTTTCTTTGTTAATAAAAATTTCCTCTATGTAAAATTACATTCAAAAGTGATATTTTGAAAAGTTTAAAATGGAAAATAAATAGTTTTTTTTTTTCTGCTTCTTATGAGTTTCTTTATTATGTGGGAAAAGTATGAAATTATATTTGTTTTGAAGATAAGTTATTATTATTATAAGTCCATAAGATATTATAAAAATTTAATTGTCCTATAGATCAGGGTTTCCCAACCTGGGATGGCAGTTCAAGGGGTGAAATAAAAGAGGAGCCATTGACTTTTAAGATGTGATGTAAATGTATACATTTCTCTTATTTCTTCAAAAAATTTTTACTTTATGCTATGAGTCACAAGTTTATTTTATAAGTTTTATTGTTCTCTTTTTAATGAAATAAACACATTGGAATTCCATTTCCATTTTTTTTTTTTTGAATTTTAAAATCCATTAACACTTTTGTACTTTTGACTTAGTCAACAATTTTTAGGGGGACTGTAAAAAGATGTGTAGGGGTGCAGACCACAGAAAAGGTTGGGAAACACTACATTAGAAATATTATTTCTTTATGCATCATTGTTTTACACTGTACCCAAAGTTAAAACATAGCCCTAGTGTAAAATCATTTTTATCAATTGTCATGGTTAGTGTTTCTCTTGTTGGTTTGCTGTCGGATACACATACTTTTTGGATGAACATGCACACTTTCGTTACCTTCTGCTCTATAACTGCATCAGTCTGACGCTGCTCATGCACTAAAACACTAAACTGCCTCGAGCGTAGTAGCTGTTGTTCACGTTCTGTCAACAGTCTACACAGATCATGTTGGCAGTAGAGATGGGGATGTACACCAATGGCCATACAACAGAGTGCAACAATGAGGGGAAAAAAAACAACAACAAAAATAAGGTTTTAAAAAACACAATGTTGAAATGGTGCAATAGTACTTTTTTGTGTCAAAGTGGTGAATTTAGACAAAGACTAGCTGTACTATTTTGGAGACATTAAGTGAAAGATATTGTTCTAGGTGGAAATAATAAAAAAAAAAACTGATTCAAATTCTATTAAGTCTGCCATGTCACTGAATGGTAACGTTGACTGCTTCTCAACCAAGAGGTAGAAGGTTTGAATTTTGCCCTGGTCCATTCCCATCTAGATGGAATAAGCTCATAAGCCTAGTAAGACTGCTATTCTTGGGGAGCTGTTCAATTACATACCAGTAGTAAAAAAACTTAAGTACCGGTACCACATTAGAAAGTTAGCAAAAAATGTGTGTAATTAAGACATTGGCCGTCTAGGCAAACAAAAAATCATAGCTTTAGTCTTACTAAAATTGCAGCTGCCAGAATAATTCCAGAATATTTAAAAAACAACTAACTACAATGTATGTCATAATGAAATTTAAAAAAAAATTTAAGCTATGAAAAAAAAAGCCAACAATTTGTTTCAAAAAGACCTATGTAAACTATACCCTCATGTAATAATTTATCTTGTCTATATGACCCCACTCTCTATAATGGAACTTTCTTTTGAGCAAATTTCCATCGCCCTTCCCAATATCTCTTTCAAAATAACTGTCTCTTCCCCAGTTCTCAATAACTGAATTCCCATTTTGAATACATGGCTGTCCCTAAATCACTCGAGCGGTTCCTTCCACCCTATGGGCCCCTGACCTTTGATAGCCTCCCCATATCAATCTGCTGCTCAGCATCTCTATGGTCGTGTCTAGAGGATAAATTAGTACCCAATCCAGCTTGTTAAGTTATTTCCAGCAGCTATAACCTGGGGGAAGCATTCTCAGACAGGCAACCAAAATGAAGTGAAATAATTCCTAGTCATAATAAAAATGTGTAAAAAAAAGTGTTTGGAAAAAAAAAAAAAAAGGCTGACTGTATTTGTAGACAAAATAATCCGGGAGGAGTACTAGAACAAGCTTAGATCTCAGACAAAATTCCCCACTAAAAAATATCACAAGACCATAACCATATTAGTAACTCACTTTTCTTTGTGTACTTGCTGGACTCTTTGATATTTTTTTATGAGAAAGATTGAAGGGTTAGAGGAGACCAAAATGGAGCTACTGGATAGCCAAGCTCACAGTGATCTAATTTTGTACTCCAGAGATTTGGTAATGGTGTTTTTCTCAGATTTTCCCTTTTAACTCAGAGAGAGAGAGAGAGAGAGAGAGAGAGAAATAAAAGGTCCCTGAAGTTCATGAAGAAATCAATACCTCAAGGCCATAAACTATCAGGGATTTTCTGATGTCTTTGAAAATGAAGTGCTAGAGCCTCAATTAATGATTTGTTTAATAACGTTGTAAATAATAAAGTATTGTGCAATGTGGGTTGTTGTAAGGGATGATTTTATTTATATTTTTTTTTACAGTTCAAGTAGTTTATTAATATTAGACTTTATTTTCTGGTTAGAGATACATTGTCATGGGAGATATTTTAATGTAATATGCCTTTAAATTGTAAGAATTATAGTTTTTTCTCATCAGAGGCACATTTATAGCTCTGCTTTATTTTTTTTTCTACCAGAATAAACACAACATTTAAAATTCCCCAATAAGTAATGGCACCAAGACATTTCAATCTTTACATACAAGGAACCGGCTGAAATTAATTTATTGCAGTAAAAATTTCACAAACTTTAATGACGGATTATATTGCATAATTAAAACAGTGATGTAGGACAAACATGCATAAACTAAAGAAGCAACACAGCCACTCGATGCAACAGAGAGGTTGAATGACAACAGAACATGGCCAAGTGTGACTAAGACATTTCACAACACATTTACAATGAGATTGTTCATCTGGTCACTGGCCCACAACAAAAACACAGCCCTTTGTCTAGATGATAAGGTGATTTCCAAACTTTTTCAATCAGCACACCTCATGAGCCAATGATAGTTTGCAATGGCTCAACCACAGGGAAGTAAAAAAACCAAAAACAACAAACATAAACACACAAAAATTATGCCCAACCTCTCAATTATAATGTGCTACACATATCAAGTTCAGAAAAATATTGATCTGATAGTGGATTGTTGTTTTGTATTTGATAGACCCTTGTGATTAAAAAAATGAAAAACAATGTAAACCTTGAATTAAGTTTTGAACAAAATGAATTGGAAAAAAAAACAACAACAAAAACGTGTAATATTATTCTTAATTGTTATAGAGTCTTTCTCAGAACTATTATTGGAGCCACTGACATTGTTGAGGACCAGTGACCTCTTTGAAATTATTGACCTACCATTCGAACATAGGAGGACACAGTAAATGGGCCATAATCCAGGGCCAACTGGCCTCTGAGGTTTGCAGTGACAAGGAATAGAAAGTTCAAGGATTTATTTTTAACCCAAATCCTTGATCGCTGAAGACAAGGTGATGAAAACTCAGTCCTGATGTTTTAAAAACATATAAAATGTCTGCACACAGAGTAGAGCACTTTGAAGCTCTACCAATCTCTTTAATTATAAGGAAAACATTGACTGCTTTTTTGTTTTAAAAATAACCATGCACTGCTCAAAACTGCAACCAACCAATAAGTGTGCAATTATTAGTAATATATGTTGAGAAAAACAAAATGCTTCACCCAGGTTATAGACGACAAAAAAAAAAAAAAAAAAAAAAAAAAACAGACAAAAAAAAAAAAAAAAAAAAAAAAAAAAAAAAAAGAAAAAAAAAAAAAAAAGAATCACCCAAGTTAAAAAAAAAAAAAAAAAAAAAAAAAAAAAAAAGAGGATTCTGACCAAAATCAAACTTAGGGTTTCGATAAAAGTTTAGGTGAAATCCTAGTTGCAAAATACTAATTAATGTACACAATTGAGGTCAGGGTTTTTAGCTTTTTAATACAAAATTATATTTGTAAAACAATTCACTTACCTAGTCATTTCATCCCTAGGAGGTTCCTGGCAAAACATGGGAGAAAAGAAAGGAATTAAATAGTTTTAAAGAAATGACAAAATTAAACAACACCAGTTAAATAAAGATTAATTAACTTCTTTGCATTTCTCAGAACTTTTTGCTCTTTATTGTAAGCATGGCATCTTCAATATTGAGTATATTATACACAACCCAGATAGTGTTTATTCTTACTGCTTTAAGGTAAGACTGTTATCCTAAATTATTTTGCTATCATGGTTCTCTAAGCTTTGGAATTTCCATACCATTATTTAAAATGCTTGAGTTGAAAAGAATGTTTAAATAAAATTCAGTTGTATGTAAAATAAATAAGCAAATAAGCAGAACGATTGGTCTTTATTAATGGCAAACATTTAAAATGACGTAGAGTATTCTCTTAAACATTTGTTATTGTAAAGAATGATTAGATACATGAAAAACAAAACTTACCTCATCCATGAGATTTTCAAACTGATTGGAGAAAAAATAGACAAAGAAATCAGTAAATAAAAATTAACAATAAACTAACCAATAAATAAAATGGCTAATCTCCACAACCCATGATCTTTTACTATCTTAAAGTATTCATATAAACCAATTACGTAAGCAAACCTAAAAGTCATACTTAAATTATATTCATTTTGTTATATGTGGTTAAGACAAACAAATAGAGTCAGTTAATTTACACGGAAATTCCAAATGTTAAATTCTTATTTAGAGCCATAATTGTGTTTAGTTGAAATATTAAATAAGTAAATTGATATTTGAGTATGTCCACAACACCCTGTAATAAAATTCAAATTTATTTCAAATTGAGATGCTTTACCACAAAGTGGCAAGAAGGATAACAGCAAGGGAATTTATTTTCATTGAGTCACATCAGGGTTAGAGGTTACTGTTGTTTTAAATAAAGATTTCCTGTCAGTTTACCCCAGTGTAGAGTGTTTTCAAGTGAATCAAAATTAAATAAAATAAAAGCAAGATAAAATCTAAGGAATATTTCTTGAAGAAAGAAATATTTTCACATCTAGGTAGGGTCTGAAAACTGAAAAAAAAAGGCTCTTCAACGTTCTTTGATGGATTAAGTTCATAAAACTAGAAAATTCTTAATTTTGTATGTGTTCATGATGTGAGCAGAGGTGTAAAGCTCACATGCTATGAATTAGGGGAAAAAAATAATTTCTGCCAACAAATTTTTGTAAAATTATATAAACATGGATAAACATGGTTACAGCAAAGCTTCTGTAAATACGTGCCCCAAATATATTATTTTAAGAGGGATACAATTTGAAATTGGATATATTGGATTATTAGGCTATGTAAACCTTATGACCGAAAGCTATGTGTTAATTTATACTTATTACATTTATAGTAATGTATTGGTAAGTACTACAGAAAAAATAATTTTTTAAAAGTTACTTCTTCTGTTACTGTTGTCACTGCTCATGCTTTCCCTTCACAAGTATGGATTTTAGTTACTACATCAATGCTAAATATTTCGTCATTAGATATAACCTTATTGAAATTATTATTGTTGTTTCACAAAGAAATAAATGCTGGCCTTAGCAACATATTTGATAATAGCCATAAAAATAGAAGTTTTTGCACATTAAACTTTGTAGCCAGTTTAAGGACAAAATTTGAAGGTCAACAATTTAATTTACCAAATAACTGCATAAAATTGAAGGAATGGAAAGATAACAACTAAGACAGGATAGGGAGAAGCTTGAATGAATATAATTGAAAAAAAGTTCAATTATTTTAAAAAGCTAAACAAAAAATGATTTTCATAAGTGGGATTAAAAATGTTCTAGGCATCATACTCAATTTACAGTAGTTTTCACTTGATACCTGCTAGATTTTTAATAAAATTATTCTTACATGACACAGAAAAAAAAACTTGTATCAGATTTGTTTTTAATGCTCATCTTATGTCTATAAAATCTAAAAAATACACAAATCATTAGAAAGGCACTATCCAGGAATTGCTGAGGTAAAAGACATTCAAATGCAAATGTTTATATATTATTGATGAAACTCCTCTTATAATCATGTAACTAGCTACATTGTAGACGTCTAATTAAAATTTGCAGGGGCCAAGGTTGAGAAAATTAAGACAGGACAAAGGAAAACATAATTTTTTTTAATAAACAATTTTAATATGATTGGAACCAATGGCCCCAACAAAATTATTACACATATTTTAACATAAAAATCTGCTTACGACAGGCAGAGATTCACCAAGAAGTTTTGGATCATAAGTAGGATCATAAGGATCAAGCCCAAGTTAGAGACCACAGAAAGTTTGTATGCTTGAAAAGTTGCTAGATAATTGTCATTGCTAAATATTAGTTTTGTCAGAAATTCAATGGCAAAGGTTTTTTAATTATAAATGTTTTGCCTTCAGTGGCTAAACCAATTATATATGAATTAGTCAACTCTCTGTGGAACTGTGGGGGGACTAGTTCATGACTGAATCCCCCTAGCAGTTTCCTCGACCTCTGCAGGCGGTTTAAGCCACGCAGGTAATCAATAGGGACGTTCCATAATGGTGGACTAATGCAATCAAGTCATTTTAGAGCTGCACTAAGGCAGGCTCAGCGCCGGAGATAGGTGATGAGGGTTCAAACCAACCTGACACTAGTTTTCATGAGCCTCTATTTGGCCTTTACAGTTTCACAGATTCTTGTTTAAGTATAAATAAAAGGAAATCTAAACATAACCATATATGAGTTAATAGTTGTTAGAAAATTTATAATAGATGCATCCGAAGGAACATAAGTTATTACAAAGATTTTGACAGACAACAACAACCAAGTCTATATTTTCTTGTTACTTGTAAAGAAAATAAGCATCTATTAGAATTTCTTGTTTATAAATAAACTTATTCATGCAAAATTACTTACTCTAAAATTTTTATTATTTTAATTACTATGTTAAACATAATTCACATTAATAAAAAAAATTTTTATGACAGAGATTGAAGAACAACATGCTAATTTAAGTTTATTGGCGAATAAGGCATCGTCAAGTAAGGCTATCCTGATTAAAATTGCTTGTTTTAAAAAATCATCATTAAGAATAAGAGTCTACCACTATGTGGAAAAAAAGGATGGGTTTCACACTCATTGGGAAATGATGTATCTTTATTTTTTAGGGAAATCTTTTCTACCAAGCAGGTATAAAGAAATATTTGTAAGAATTTCTATGAAAATAACAACTTAGCATAGATTGAAAAAACAAAAAAAAACTTTGTCTGCTACATACACCATCATCCAAATAATAATTCTGAAACAAGTAGAAATTTAAAAATAAAAATTTAAGTTGGTACAAAAATAAATTAAAAACCCTAAAAAAAAAGTAATTAATCAGGAGAATTAAAATAATTTGATTGTGTTAGCTCTTCACAATACAAAGTTTAGGTTCATATGTAATAGGTAATGAAATAAATATTTAGGGAAAAAAAGGTACAAATTTAATTTACTATTTTAAAATAAATATGAACTTGTAACTGACAGAAAATTCAATGCAAACATCATATAGCATATAAAAGTTTGCTCCCTTGTTACTATGAGATAACTTCTTTGTAGCAATTAATAGTTTGCAATATCATTTGCTAAAAAGTTTAATTAATAGTTGGATTAGTTCTATAACAAAGTGAACACCTTCGCAGCAAAAATCTGATATATTAAAAAAAAAAAAAATTTTAAATCAATTTGGCATGTCAGAGGATTCAAGCCAATCAGTGAAATAGCATGCTTTATCAACAATAAAATCAGGAAACTGCAGAAACATCCAGACCAACGAAGTTTATGATATAGATAATTGTTTTAAAAGCACTCAAATTAAATTAGATGTATATTAGGTCATTAAAATTGGTAAATTTGAGAATTTTAAAAGAAAACAATGAAACGATATTCAGATAAAAATGTTACATAAATATGCTACACACAAAGTTAAGAAATATTTAAGAAAAATAAGATAAATAACAAACCTCTATGGAAAAATCTTGCTCTGCTGTATACTTCGACTGGAGATATCTTCTCCTTCTATTAAAAATAAACAATAATAAATAATTCAAAAACAATCATTACCAATTATGGATCTTTGAATATACATAGCCTACAGAGTATGGAATATGCCCGTGGCTTATTTAACATATTTATATAGGGTTTAATTCATTTCAACTGATGTTACAAACCATTTTATGGTTTTTCAAATTTAATAAGTTTTAAGATTTGGCTTGTGTGTTGAACAATACGTAACGAATTGATCCAATTTTTGTTACTGCCACCAATAGCAAATTGGTCTTTGTGTGGTGACTTGTATCTAACTTTTCTTACGGACACAACAAATTGTTTTCACTACCCTTTCAACAATACCAATACCAGATCTAGTTACAATTTTTTTACATTTTTTATAAATGTGCTCATTAAGCTTGTAAATTTATAAAAATATATTCTTACAATTAACCTGTGTTGAAATGCACTTTGATTCAAACAATCCATCAGTAGGGGCATTAAAAAAATGTTACATCCATCAGTGGAGGCATTAGATAAATGTCCTAAAAAAATAGTTATTTTCCATTGCGAAAAATTTAGGAACAGATCTACTTTAAGAAAGATTGTAAGAGATTTAATCATTGTCCAATAAAGGGATGAAAACATGTTGTCTGAGGATTATGTGGCCTCATGTCAACATGCAAAATGATCCTAGTACAGAGCTCAACCTAAAGCTACAGCAAATGGAGCTAGAAAAAGAAAGAGAGCTCAAGCTAATACAGCTAGATGCTTGAAGTTAGAAAGAGAGAAAAAGAAAGAGAGCTACAAATAAAATTAATAGAAATGGAAATTATGAGTAAACACAGTCCAATGGACAATAGGCCTACTGTTACCACCAGTCAGGGTTCTGATGCAATTAAATTTGTGGATAAAGAGATTGACCTGTATTTTGCACAGTTTGAAATAACTGCCCAAATTTTAAAATACCAGAGAATCTTTGGTCTGTCTTATTGCAGCAG